GGTCAGATGGGTACTGTCTGCAAGTTTGGGCATTCTTGTGTGTCTCCCTTCACTTCATATCAGCTGGATGCTTCACTCTCAGCTCTAGCGTGTCTCTCTTCACTTCATATCAGCTGAATGCTTCACTCTCAGCTCTAGCCTTCCGTGGCTAGGTCTTTGTCCACGAGCTCAGAAGTCCCCAAGTCTCACCACACTTAGAACCAACCAGTTTATGGGATATTCTTAATAGAGAGAGTTGGTACACTCTAGACAACAGTGTAACTCGCTTGGAAAGTACTTGCTTGGTACTCTTTGATGTCAAGATTATCAAAAACAAGGAAAGGTTTTTTGAGAAACTGACAGCCAAGAGGAGACTGAGGAGGAGACGGGAAGACTAAATTTGATCTGAATCCTGAATAGGATCCTGGGGCGAAAAGCTCATTACATAACAATTGAAGGAAATCAGCATAAAGTGTGGACTTGAGTAAATAATAACTTATCAGCATTGGTTCATTTAATGTGGCAAATCACCACACAACTGCAAAATGATGATTGTTGTTGATTGTTGAGTCAGTTCTGACTCATAGCAACCCTAGATTGAGTTTCCTAGGGGTGGCTGTAAGTTTGAACTGTCGACCTTGTGGTTCAAGCCAACCTTACAGTCTAGTGCAGTATCCCTCAGTGCCACAAGATGTTGATAGTAGGGAATTTTTGGTATGGAGTCAGTGGGGAACTATCTTTTCAGTGTTTCTGTAAATCTAAAACTGCTCTAAAATTAAAAAAAAAAAAAAGATTTTAAAAATGGACCAGTGTTGTTGTGTAGACCCTGAGGCCCTTGACTTAACATGTGAAATTACCTACATAATTGTTCTGCCTGGATCATATTTTATGGTTGCATGATTATAAAACAGCGAAACTATGGGAACTTTATGTTGGTGAGATAGATATTGAGAAGTGAAATTGCACTGCTAGCATAGGGCAAGTGTTTGGAGGACTTTTGAGTGCTGGTTTTAAGAGTTTGGATTTAATTTCAAACTGTGAACATTGATAGCCTTTCTGAAATCTTACTTTACCCTGACCTCCAGAAATTGCCACAGTGTAAAGTAGCCCAGCAGAGGTGTGGGGAAATACAGCTCTAGTGTGAGGCTCTAAGGAGCACAAATGATTGGTAGGCATGGGAAATTGGAATGTCTTAGTGCCGTCTTTGATCTCTACATGTTCAGATGTTTTTGTTTGTTTTTTGATTCAGTCCATCTTAAGAATAAATTAATTTCTGGATTTAAAACAAGATGGCGGATCAGGTGGACGTATAGCAGAGAGCTCCGCCAACAACAACACAGAGAATACCCGACCAAGCATGTTCAGG